TCTGATAAAACAGCTACTAAACCATCACTGTGACCCAGCAGGGCGTTATTTTCCTCAAATAAACAAGTTCAGGTTAAAGTAAAACTCTCTGGCTCTGGATTTTGGACAAAGTAATAATTTGTTTTGCTTTAATTTGAAAGTCAAGTTAATTTAGAAACAGTTGATGAAGTGAGTTACCTGTAAGGGTTTGGGTAGCGCTGCCAGAAAGCAGCCAGAACTTGATGCAAAGGACTCTGGATGTGGACCTCGCTGTAGAAATGCCGCCCCATGTCTGAACCTGCTGCCAGAGAACACAGCTCACTCATTCAGTCACTGCAAGGAGACGAACAACAGGAAAACGAAGTAATCAGAGATATTAGTAAAATATTTTCCTAATTAAATCTGATCAGAAAAGTTGTTCATTTCATGCATTTTCCAACAATTTGCATTATTGAAATCTTAACAAACAAACACATTCTGAAAGCATGGCGTGTATTTGTATTTGGCCCCATTTGCTCTTACTGTGTACCCTTATATAAAAACAGAACAATCAGAGAACATTAGAGAACAAACAGCATCATGGAGTCCAAAGAACCCAACAGAGAAGTCAGGGGGAGGGTTTTATGCAGCTGATCACAAACCAATGATAACTCTGGAGGAGATGCAGAAACCCCACAGGTTGGAGGGAGGATCTGACAAGTCTGACCTTAAAGGAAGAAACCCCTTCCATCGCTTTTCTACAAACAGACGTTATAGCTGAAATGCAAAGTAATTTGGATGCCTGAAAAGTATTTCTTTAATAGATAATTATCATCGCAAACACTGAAACACGGCGGTGGCAGCATCATGCTTTGGGGAGGCTTGTGTTTCAGAGGGAACAGGAAAGTTGTTTATATCAGAGGGAACAATAAACCTGATAACATTTACAACACTTAAGAAGTCAAATTTAGGCATAATAACATTATATAGCCCCTATTAATACTTTACTGCTCCTTTTATTTATGAAATTAATAAATTTTACTGTGAATATTTGATAAAATTTAGGATTCAAACAACTTTCAAACTTTCATTTTATACAGGTTTGGGACAGTAAATGAGCAGCT